GTGGATATTTATTATTTACGTATGTCTATCTACCATTACATATCTACCATTTAATAAACGTACATATCTACTATTTAATGAAAAATAATATGCCATTGGACATAACTGGCACAATAAGCATTATTAGTAGTCAAAACACCAACATGCAACTAAAAAAACTGTTAAAAAAGCAAGATTGCAAATTGTCTTGGCAGTGCACACATAACATTTTTACTTTTTATGTTTTGTTATATGGTTACGTAGTTAAATATGCCATCAACTTTTGAAAAGATAATTTTTTCTGAAAGATTTTTGACTGATCAATGTGTGACAGACCTTTTATATTGCCAAAACAGTTATTTTAATAGCTACGTATCTAAATAATTATAGATTTGAAATCCATTAGATAAATATGCTTTTTGTTGGAAAGTTTTTTTATAATTATTAACTCATTTAAGTATTTGATCTACTATATTATCTTTTTAAATATCTTTTTAAAACTCTTTTCTGCGGGCACATAACGTTAATTGGTCTTTTTAACGTTCTGTGCCCGCAGAAAAAATGTTAAGGATGTTGCACGTACTTAAGACTCTTCTGGGTTAATATCTTTTTGATGAAATACCAATGAATTAGCGAAGTTTCCAACACCTGTTAATGTGTTTTTTGTCCACAAATAATCTCTTTCTTTGCTCTTAAAGATTCCCAATACGTTTGTATATGCTTAACGCAACCAGATTTTTGCGGTTCAATAGCATAATTACTACTTTTTTTTTTTTTTTTTTTTTTTTTTAATTATTCACCTCCCCAAGGCCCGAGGGGACCACTACAGTCGAGGAGGCTACTCATTTTTTTTTTTTTTTTTTTTTGTAAATCGTGGTACAACCCTCTCTCAACTCTTTAACTCCGAAACACGAACCTTGACAAGCAAGGCCGCTGCGCGGAGAAATTAAGTTGGGCGCCGTACTTCCAGGGACCTGGTGGGAGTCGAACTATATGACTTACTATTACAAACAACATTAAATGACAAATAGTCACCATAACCCAAAATATTACTTATAAATTGCTCCAAAATACTACTAATAAATAGTTAATCATGGATTGAGAAAATAAGTCATCTGTACAGCACCTTCCATTGTTCCTAAAGATTTAATGTGATTCAGATGACTTTATAACTGATTTTTGCGCCATCCTTAAATGACTCATAGTCATTGTTAGGATGGTTGATATTGTTTTTCCGTTTTTCACATCCTCTGCAATATTTACTAAGGATTACAATATCATTTAAAGAGGTAAATCCTCGTTTGACATGTACCATTGGTAGAAAATTTAATCTAAACTTTTCCAGTTAGGTGTTTTTGTTGTTGAATTATTTTTTACTTTACTTGCAGTATTTTTCATAAACTGTAATACAGCTGAATGTTGAAAGCCTTGAGATGGCTTTCCTTAAATTATTGAATAAACAGCTTTTCATGTACTTCACATCTTTTACATATTCATAACAATATACTTCGCATCTTTTACTGCTTCGTATCCTTTACAAATATCATAAAAAGCTTTTTATTATTTTTTAATTTATTTATTTATTTATAAACAAATTTCTTTTTTAAATATTGCTAAATTAATGACCTTTAGTAAACTTTATTTAAAGTGCATTTACAAAGTTCGTATTGAGTAACTCTATATAATTTCGTACATCACTCAATCTCGCCCACCATCTTTAGTTGCTTATATGTCAGTTAACTCACAGGCTGCACCATCAAAAAGACGTTCTTTTAGAGCAGCTAACCAGCCTTATCAACATCAAAACAACTTTGACCTCAAAAGAATTGCAAATAAAAAAGTATCTCTTAAAGAAAATTTGTTGGTTTTCGGTAATTTTTTTGCTACCTAATTTGCCCAATTCAAACCAGCTGATGCAAATCTACCGATTTAATTATTTATTATGCATGTTAAATTATAATTTAATTTTGTTCTCCACTGTTTAATCTCTGGTTGTAATAACATTTATAATCGTTTAAAATGGTAGAATATGCAATTCTACCATTTTACTACTCAATTTCGCCCACAGAATAAATATATTGTCGCCCAATGCATTTAATCTCGCCCAGGTGGCCGAGAATAGATGCAGCATAATATATTAAGACTTACGCTACCAGCAATTTTAACAAAAAAAACCTTTCGCCATGGCCCCCATAATTTTTTCATTAAATTGGGATGACATATTTAAAAAATAATTGAAAAACAAAAACATAAAATTTTGTAAGGATACATATTAAGAGCATTTTCTTTTTGAATGCTTACAAAGGAGTTTTTTTATATATTTTTATTCTATATATTATTGAGCAAATTATTTTATAAATTAATAACCCTTAATTCAACATCCTTGGCATTATCGTAAAAATAAATTTTAAAGTTAAATTGATTTTAATTTAATAAAACTCTTCCTCTGGGTATTGTTATTAAGGAAATTAATTAAAAAATAAATTGATATGGGTCCGCCTTAAGTATAAAAAGCTTATGTTCATCAAAAACAAATAAATTAACTAGATAAAGGACAAAGAAAGTATCGCAAATAATTAAACTTTGTCTGTTATTGCATTTTCTTTTTCTGATTATTATTGGTAAGAAAGAATTTGGAATTTTATCTTTTTATGCTATATATATATATATTTTTTAAATATTTTTTTAGTGTTTAGAAATAATGGATATTTTATCTACAATTGTTTTATTTATTTTCAATTTAAGAACTAATGTTTTAGTTATTAAAATAACTAAAACATTAGGTTCAAAACGTTCGGTTGGAGAGGTCCAAAACTCATTTTATGCATAATAAGAATGTTTTTATTCTTCTTTAATAGACTTGTAGTTACTTAGCTAAATGCTTATTTACTTCATTGTAAATTAAGCACTGCGAAGTTCTAGGGTTGGGATTAGGTTACAAATACTAACATATGGTTTTCACCACGTGTTAATATTTGTAGTTCTTGCAAATTTGGAGCGCTTTATTAAATTAATATGACATTCATACTGCAATTTAATTTTTCTAGATATTGTCTTGAAAAAAAACATGGTTAAAACAAGAGGTGTGGGATGTAGAAAATCACCAAGATTTCACCGGATGTTGGTTGGAAAGATTACTTCTGTAGCAGAGGCTGCAATATGTTATAATACAACTCATCTTCTTGATGGTATAACTCCTTCAACATCTAGTTGTTGTACTCTTGACATTTGTCAAATAAAGCAGCTACCAACAATTGATGTTTCTTCAACTCATGTCAATGGTTCCAATCATTCCATTGATCAATCAGTCAAGAAACGGGGCAAATTCCTGAAATGGAGTGAAGAAAATATGATGAGTCCAATTAAGCATGTCCAATCAGAGCAATCATTTTCAGTGCGTAAGGCAGCAATATTGTACAATGTGCCACGTACAAAACTGAGACAGACTTTCTGAAAAAGTTGTTATTGGAGCAAAGCCAGGAAGAAAACTTACCCTACCTTTTGCCCTAGAAGTAAAACTTTTCGATTATGCCAGCAATAGAGCAAAGTTAGGTTATGTTTTGGAAAGTCACAGTTCCTAAATTAAGCTGGGAAACTTGCCGCAAAACATAAATTCAACTTCAAGAAAGAACTTCCAAGCAACCAGTGATGGAATAGAGTTAAACACCGGCGTGGCCACAAATTTATTCTGCGACAACCTGAGGGTACAGCTTAGCTCGACAACAATTTATGGATAAAGATAAAGTTTCAAAGTACTTTAGTGCTTTGAATGACGTCATGGTGAAAAATGGTTTTCACGTTAAACCAGAATCCATACGGAATATGGATGAAACTAATCTACAACTTGACGTAAAACCAAGAAAAGTGGTTGCAAAAAAAGGCACAAAAAACCTCCATAGCCAAATTATTGGAAATCGAAAGTCAATCATTGTTATTGCATGAGTGAATGCACAGGGCAAGTTCATTACCCATGGTTTTAGTGAAGGGAAAGGCATCCAGGTCTTTATGTGATTTTAACACTGAGTTCACGCCTCCGAGAACAAATTGGAGCTGGTCCGATAGTGGTTGGACTACCAAAACTTCGGTTTACCAAGACATTTTTAGAAAACATTGATCCACAACGTCCTCAGTTATTGATTCTGGATGGGCACGATTCTCACAACTTTATTGAGCTAATTGATATTTCTATCCAGAATCAGATACATACAGTTGAAATGCCTTTACACACATCAAAATGGCTTCAACCATGTGACCGCACCTTATTCAAGCCACAGAAGGATTATTATCGTTCTACAGCACAAGATCTGATGGGTCAGTTTCCAGGAATTATTACTTGTCGTTTAAATTTTGCAGGAATATTTGCTTCAGCTTGGGAAAAAGTAATGACTTCTTGCAACATTACTTCTGGGTTTAAGTTGTGTGGAATTTATCCATTTAATCCTCAGGCTATTCCTAGTGATGCATATTTATCAAACTATCTACACATAGCTGAGGATATATCAGTTAATACAACTGAAAACAGTTGTTCTTAGGTTAGTAATGTACTACCGTGTTTTTGCTAATACTACTATACAATAAAAATTATTAGCTAGCAGCTGCTAGCTAAAGTTAGCTAAATTTAGCTAGCAGCTGTGACTAATGTTTTATGTGCAAATTGATAAAAATTCTGAAGCATAAAGTTTACTAACTTGCATTTCAATTGTATTATTTATTATTTTCTTAGGAATTCTAATCACCAATTGTTCAAGAAGTCATTTTGTTGGACGTTGATGCTTCTATAGATGATGGAAAAGTTGCTAATTATCTAGAACAATTACAAAATGGCACTGAAGAAGATAACGCAACTCACAGTTTGTAACAAAATAACACTTCTATTTTGGAAGAAGAGACTGTTGTTCGTAATAATCAGCTTGCATATTTAGTCAATCCAGTTAAAGAAAAAAATGTTGACTACATTGTAAAGAGTTTTATCAATCGTTCTAAGCAAAAAAAAAAAAAGAAATCCATCAAGCTTCAACACCAACCATCAAACTTTAATTCTACTACAGTTTCAGATTTTCCGTTTGCAAACTCTTCCTACCCCCTGGTAAGTCAACAGTTTTTTTTCATTTCATTTGACCAAGTGATCAATAGTTGCATAGCAACAATGCAACTTTTAATAAATTTTCCGTTTTAAAATAATTCAAATTTTTTTAAATTATTTAAATACTTGTTCTTTAATTGAATATATATGTTTTTATCAATGCAGGTGATGGAGATGATGATGTCTTAGCATATCCTAAGGCCACCGCACGGAAAAAGATAGCAAACAAAAAGGCTAGCTTAAATACTTCGTTTTAACTTCTTAAGAAGCATACTCAGCAAAGCTGAATTATCACCAAGACAAAATCCAACAGGAATAAGAAAAATGCAAAAGAAAACAACAGCGATTTGTTAATGATGCTAAGCGACTCAAAGAAAAAAGAAGAAAAAAAAGTATTGGCTAAGAAAAAAAATTAAAAAATTGTGCCAACAAGTCTATAGCAACAACAAAAAAGAAGTTCATTTCATTATCATCTGAATTGCAATCATTGGTTGATCCCGAGAACAATACTGACTAATATGTACTAAATATTTGACAATATTTTTTTTATATAAGTAAAAATGCATACAATTTCGTCTTATCTATATAAACTTTTTTATTATTTTTATTTTAGAATATTCTAATGGTCTTATTTATGATAAGACCTAATGGTCTTATTACTAAGCATCGCCACAAGGGCTTAGCCATATAATAAGTTGGTTCCCCATTTCGAGCTTTACCGATAACTATAAATGTTTCGAGCAGGATTCGAACTCGCAATCCTTATACAACGAGTACCATGGTCTAATCACTACGCCACGGCTGCTCAATATAAAAATTAAACTCATGACTGACGCAAAAAGAAGACAATATTTGTCATATCACAACGGCTTGTAAGCATTAATGTGTTGAAACTATACTTTATTTACATATTTTACAATTACAATTGAGATTAATCTCAGAATCAAGATTCAAGTCAGAGTTTAGAGAGAAAATTCGCATTCACAAAAACCCCATGGTTTTATACTTTTCTAATTAAAATGGTCCAATTGAGCATAGAAATTAACTAACGAGATTTAATCTCACTCACCTGTATATAATGTCGCCCTACGCAAGTATAAGTTCTTTTTTAATGTACACAGTGGGCGACTTTTGATGTTCAGCTGTGCAATATTCTGTGCAATATTCTGTGCAATATAAAATAGTTCAGCTCTACTGTCTGATAATAGCCTGTCATTATCAATTTCAGTGCGGATGTGGGCGAGGTTCGATTAAGTTAACCTGTTTTGCAAATTGTGGTAAAATTAAAAGAAAACTCTATTTTAAGTGTAGAATCATTATTAGTAACGATACTTTTTTTTACGTTTGTTTTTAAGATGTTTTTATTTTGTGATTATTAAGGTGCTCGCAGAAATTCTTAATGTCTTATCACAGAGCACAACGGAAGGGCATTTAACTAGAAAGTTCACGCCATCTTCCTTACCAACATCGCTTATTGGGCTAGAGCCAACGTTGAACCTCGAACTTTTTGGTTCTGAGCCAGAACTTAAACCACTTCGCCACCGCTGAACTATTATCTATATTACTATAAAAATTTAGAAATATACAAAAAATCTCTCAATTTTCTTAAGAATTTCAAAGTTAAAATGAAAATACCAACTGTTTTTAGTGTCTATATTAAACGTAAATATCTTGGAACTATTTTAATTTTGGAAAGCAAGTTAACTATTAAAGTGGTGGTGTTTGACACATGCTTTCAACACTATTTTTAAAAGCCCAACAAATTTGTTATTTACTTTTTGTTCATTATTTTTTTATTACCCATTCTTAAAAAATAAATAAACAAAAATACAGTTTTTTATTAAAATCAAAACAATACTTCTTAAAAAAAGTGTACTAACTGAATTACTGAAAAATCATGCTGGCATAAGTAATTTATAAAGGTAGGTTTGTGACAATTAAAGGAAGCATTATTAGACCATAAGAAGGCTTAGAAAGAATAACAGTGCTGATACAGGAGACGTATATTAAAACATTATATTTTCTTAAACCACCGTGGCGCAGTAGCTAGAGTGCTTGCTTAAAAACTGAAAAATCTAATTTACAATGCCAGATCTGGCCATATTTTCATTTTTTTAGTTAAAGTACTTCTTTTTAGACCCTAACAACCTAGTAATAACCACAACGTATAAAAAATATACTTAATATGAAAATAATTAATTTAAAAAGAAAAAATCTTTTTTGAGGTTTACTACCTTAAATAAAATTAAACATCAACCATGCTGAAACTAAGAATGTAATGAGCAAGTTTATGATTTACTGGAATCCAAAATGTGCAAAAACTCACTTTGCCCGAACTGAAATTCCTACGTTAAAGACGCCTTAATAAATTTAAAAAACTTACATGTCACAGATTTGCATCGTGTAAGCATTTATGTTAAATTACAATCGCGTTTGTTATAAATGTTTAATAATGTGATTTTTTGGCATCCTAATTATGCTAAATTAAGTTATACACTCTTACTTGAACGTTACTTTAAAAAGTAACTTTTTAAAGTATCAAATGAAAACAAATTGTAGATTTTTATTTGAAATAATTAAGGACGCCATAAAGGTCACGTGATTTGTAATATATCTCAAACAGTTCAATTCACTTTTTAATAATCCAACATTCAACTTATGACATTGAAATCTTGTTCAAAAGTAAAACGAGCAATAAACAAAGCACTGAACAGTGCCATTTCTTCTTAACGACGTAACTTTAATCGATAAAACCAATCAGAAAACTACGAGAAAGTCTATTAAACTCATCCTCGGTATGAGTGTTTACTAACCGAGAAAAAGTAGCAATGCAAAAATGTTAAATGTTAATAATATTTTGTAAATAAAACACGTTTTCGTTTATTTTACCAGTTTTAGTGGTATAATAGTTGTCAAAAATAAACTAACTAACAAATATATATATATATATTTTAAAGTATGGCATGTCGAAATCTAGAATCAAATTTACCAAATTATTCCGAATATTCCGGGACGCAACCAACAGTTTCAAGAAAAGTTCACTTTAACGATAAACAAAGCGAGAACTGTTTTCACTACGAACTTTTTCCTGAATGTCATTCAAAAGATGACAATCATATATTTTTAAGCAATCAAATTAAATTTAATGATGCGTACACAAACGATAAAGATATCAAAGATGTAGTAGAAACCATTCCACAAATAGAAAACAAACATTTGGATGTTCAGAGTATTACTTTAAAACTAAAGCAATCTTATGACAATATTGATCGTGAACAAGATTTACTAAAAAAGATTTCACAAGAACTAAACTTGTCTAAAAGTAAATTAATGTGCCATCAATGCGCCGTTTATAATAAAGATACTGCTCGCGAAGTTGATCGATTGCTCAAAGAAGTAGAATGTTTACAAAACCACTTCCAAAGCGTAGCTAAACGGAAGAAAAAATACTTAGAGGAGTTGTCTCTTCTTCAAGTTGCTTTACATAGAGATCGGACTCAAATGGAAGCAAGTTTTCAAGAATCACCTGATTCAAAACAAATTCTTAAAACAAAACTAGATGAGTCATCAAAAGTGACACGTGATCAAAGAAAAATGATTTACAAACTTAAAAGTGATAACATTGCTCTTTGGAAACTTTTACAAGAGGTTCAAGAGCATTTAAGAAACGAACACCATAAAGGAAATGATTTTATCAACGAGTTTCAGGCATCTTCAGGAAATAAACAGTTATCAGATATTCCAACTAAAAGAGAAGTGGATATTTACAAAAACATGTATACCGATGCAGTCACGTCATCGGCATCTTCATCATCATTGGATATTTTTCAAGATGGCAGAGTATCAAACTCTAGTAGTTCAAGCAATGAGAATTGTCTGTCTGAAAAAATACGTCACTTGATTGCACAAACTGAACATATTAAACAAGTTATTCCAAACATTGAGAATCACCAGCATGAGTTTGTGGAAACTAGCAGACTTTGGGGGGCTGGATTAGGTTTACGAGAGTGTCGAATTCCTTCCGAAAATGAAAAAGTAATTTTCTAGTTTACTACTGCGTTAAATTTTTTCAAAATTACAAGTAACTTACTACTAGTTTTAATTCCCTGTTAGTTTTAGTTGTGGTACTAAATTGAATAATAAAAAAGAATACACTTAGGTTGAACAATAAATTTAAGTAGTTTCCAGTCTCATAGAAATGTTAAGTTTGACTAGCCCCAATTACAACATATTAGAAAAATGGGCAAAGCATTTTTCACCAAAAATAAGATAACCCATTCGCATATTTTTTATTTATTTATGTAGGGAATGAGAAGCGATATGAATGATATAATGTCCAGATGTGAGGATCTTGAAAAAAAAGTCGATCAATGCTCCACAAAAGACATTAGAGAAATACTCATCCACCAACTTCAAGAAATTGACCAAGAAAGTTCAACATCAAATTCATCTAAAGACAGCAGTTGGAAAAGGCGTAGTAAGTTATAATAGATTCTTTAGTTCTACTATTCTTTTATAATTGCATTCTAACAGAATGCAATAATATTTGTGTATCATATTTTTATACTTGATTTAAAATTTTTTACAGCTGATAAAATTAATGTTTTCATTTTCGGTAATAATAAAAATTATTGTATTTTGCGTTATTTTATATATATATATATATATATATATATATATATATATATATATATATATATATATATATATATATATATATATATATATATATATATATATATATATATATATACATACAGGGCCTCCAAGAGGAAGGGGGCAATTTAAGTAGTTTGCCCCGGGCATCACAGTCTATGGGCCCATAGACTGCAAACTATGCCCCATGGGGCATTGCAAACGCTTTAAAAATAAAAACTATTGTAATGATAAAAAATTTAGCTGATAACATATTTAAAAATTAACCAATTTTGTGTATTAGTTTTGTTCTCTTTTTAAATTTTGTTTACGCCTAAAATAAGATAAGAATTACTTTACAAGGTTTTCATTTTACATTTGAATGCTCGCGTTTTCGTTGGCCTTTTATTTGCTTAGTAACGTAAAGAGCGTTTAACAAAAAAAGTTTTTATTTAACGGTTTGTAGAAGTCTAACTTCAAGTTGTATAACTTATTTTTGCTTAAACTTTGCTTTGGATACTTTTGTGCTTGGTATGTTTTTGACTCACCTGCATCTTGTTCTGACTATATTTTGAAAACGAAGTAAACAAAAAAATAAAATACATTCTAACTATATTTCGACAAGAAATTTATCTTCAGTGGATATTTAAATGTAAGTACTAGCTTTAGCTATGCCATTAATAACACCAAAGTAATTATAAAATTAAAAATTTTTAAAACTAAAAAAGCTCACATTCTTTACATCATCATAAGTTTTAGCATGAGTTATCAAAGATGGAGGTCTTGAAAGATTGAACCAGTTGTCTGGAGCTGCTGGGCGAAAAAGAAAAATGATTCAGAAAAAAAACGAAAGCAAAAACAAACGAACGCTTTTAGATCGCGTTCGTTGGAAAAAAATGAAGATAAAAACAAGCAGGTAGTTAAATTATTTTAAAATCTTATGACATCCATAAAAGAATAATAAAAATAGTTCTGTCTACTAATATTTTTTTATAGCTCTATCATATAGAGTTCGGTATCAATAACTCTAATGTGTTACCAGATCATAATTCCGACAAACCATTTCTTGCCGATGACATTGATGGCTACCAAAAAATATCATCACCTTCAAATCCCAGCAATTTTCCAAGAGATCAAAAAGAACGCAAATTCAGAACAAAGTATTACAAGATTATATGCATCTTATTGCTAAGCACCAAGAAGAAGAAAAACGCATGCAAGCTCATTACTTATCCTGAAAATCACAGAATGAATTTATGGAGGAGTGCGTTTTTGCGCACTCTTGTGCGCAAATTAGTGGTTCGAGAAGTTATTCAAGAAATCAAAAAATCAATGTATTTCACCATCATCACGGACAGCAATCCCGATTCGTTCCACAGCGAGCAAATTACTTTTGTCTTTCGTTTTTTGCATTTCATTGATAATCAGCTGTGGGAAGTTAAAGAAAGGTTCCTTAAGCTAGAAAAACTTGAAAAAAAGAAGAGAGCTAATATAGCAAAGTTGATATTGAATGCTGGAAGAGAATGAGCTAGACATAAAAAATTGTTGTAGTCAAGGCTACGACAATGGCGCAAATATGGCAGGTATTTACAATGGGGTTCAAGCTTTGATTAGACAAAATAATCCACAAGCAGTTTTCATTCCTTGCTCTGCTTACAGTTTTAACTTATGTGTAGTACACCCTATTGAATCATCAGCTCCTGCAAAATCCTATTTTGGAAATATTCAAAAGCTATACAATCTGTTCAGCTGCAGTCCAGTTCACTGGAAAATTCTTCAGAAGGTGACAAGCCAATCGTTACATAAACTTTCTGTTATTCGATGGAGCTCAAGGATTAAAGTAGTAAAGTCACAAGCGAAAAAGCCATGAGAAATTCTGAAATCATTACATTGTCTAAAAGAGTTATACCTTCCAGGCGAAATTAGTAATAAAGTTCTTTATCTAATTAAATGGATGAATTCTTTTAAATTTGTTGTTTTCACTACTTTTTGGATTAAATGTTTGATAGCAGTTAACAACGTTAGTCTTCTGCTTCAATCCACTCAACTCACACTTGATGACGAAGTAAAATTTTTAAATGGTTTTTTGACGGATCTAGATTGAATCTGTTTGTTTTGGGACCCGATTTTAATAGAAGCAACAGAAGTTGCAAAGAACTTGAAATCTGATGAAATCATGTTTGCTGTGAAGAGAACGCGAAAAAAGAAGGTCTTCCCTAATGGAACTGCTAGTTACAACCATCAAGAAGCATAAAAAAATACTTTATGCTTCTTGATGGTTGATCTGACTAATCAAATGAGATCGAGATTTAAAGTAATAAAAGAGGAATGTAACAAGTTTTCCTTCCTTTGGTCTTCGCTGAAATCTCAAACATATGAAGAACTAGGATTAAAAGCTGAGAATCTGGCTAAACTTTACCCAGAAGACTAATTTAAAAATGAATTTTCTGATGAAGTTCGGTATTTTTTTTTCGTAAGAAGAAGTATTCTAGCCAGCGAAAAGCCTATAGAACTTCTAAATGAAGTTTATGCATTCAATCTTTCCACAAGTGTGTGTTTCACTTAGAATTTTTCTAACATTGCCCGTTTCAACATCTGAAGGTGAAAGATCATTTAGTAAGTTAGCTATCATCAAGGATTATCTTTGTTCCACAATGGGCCAGGAGCAATTGTGCTACTTGATAATCTTTTCAATTGAATCAGATTTAGCCAATAACGTTAGAAGGCCCGGAAGATGTCTGTTAAGACTTGATTTTACCATAGTTTGTTTTTACAAGCCAAAATTAATTAAATGTTATTTTAGGTTATCTATGAAAGTAAACAAAAAATAACAATGCTAATTTATTTGCTATTTATTATTTTAAGACCTAAAGTATGGTAGGGCATCCATTAAACTTTTAGACCCGGGCATCACACACACATATATATATATATATATATATATATATATATATATATATATATATATATATATATATATATATATATATATATATATATATATATATATATTATATTTCATACCGTATTTTTGTATTTAGTATTAATATTTACTAACAATATAAAAAAAGGCTTCTTATCGTAAATTAATCTACTAACACTTTTTTTGTTCATCAATTTACAGGTGATCCAACTTGCATTTGGAATCCAGAGCAACATCAAAGAGCGAGAGAAGATATTTTGCAATGTCTTGATAAAATTGCGTTGTTAGAAAGAAACTTTAATGGAACCCAAGAAGAAGTTCGGAGATTGAGAAATTATATAAAGGTGATAGTTTGTAAATATTTGTAAATATTTGTTTTGCCCAAATATTTTGTTTGTATATATGTGTGTGTCTGTGTTTCATATGCATTCTATATAGCAAAAGTTATATATGGCATTTATTTTAGGAAACTGCCGAGGAAAAAGAATTTTGCGAAAAAACATATAAAAGAGAAGCAATGGATCTAAGAAAAGTGGTCGAAAATAAATCTGAGGAAATCGAAAAGTTAAAGGAAGAACTGAACAGCTCTCAAAAGGTACAGTTATTTTATAATAAAATTGCAAACATCAATGATCAAAAACCGACTAAATTTTTATTCTAAGAACTTTCGAAATATAATTGATTTTTAAAAGCTTAATTGCTACATAGAGGCCTATTTTTACTTTTCTAAATTTTGGAGTGAACCACAATGGTCTTTTCTAAATAAAAATGTAATCTTTAATAAAATAAAATCTTCGTGTTACCATAAACCTTTTGTTTTATTATAATATTGTTTACACTAACAATTTTTATTTGTCAATTTTAACTTTACTCTTTGTTATTTTTGGTTACTGAATATGTATTAATTATACGCTTGAATTTTTTAAGATTGCGGTAGAGAATCAGAAGCTGAAAGCAAAAATAGAAAAGTTAGAAAAAAAACTTCAACAAAAAAATGAAGAGATTGCGAAACTTGTTCATAAAGAAAACGAAACTAGGTTTTTGAAGGCGTTAGTTGAGGAAAAAAACGAAGAACTTGAAAAGCTTAAGGTTTATTTTCATTATCATTATTTAATATATCATTATATCAACTTTGTTTGTTTTATATTTTAAAACTATTTTTTAATGCTTTTTATATAAACATTTAATATATAAAAAAAATATATATATTTTTCAATTATAGTTAGAAATGCAAGCAGCACTTGATAGAATGGAACGATTTCGTTTGCAAGAAGAAATCATCGAAGATTCAAATAATGCTCTAAAAAGCGATATGAAAATTTTACAAGAAAGAAATGATGAACTTAGAGCATCCATCGAAGAAAATATTCAAGAAGAATTAGCTCTTCTACAATCTGCCATTTTAGAAGCGGAAAGACGCATGGACCGTATGAAAGAAGAAAATAACACTTTGAAAGAAAAAACTATTGCAGCAGAAGCATCTTCGAAAGGAGGAAAATCACAGTTTGACATTGATAATGTTGTTTTAGTTAATCGTTTAAAACGGTATGAAGAAGAACTTCAGAAAGTAAACGAGGAACTGCACGCAAAAATCCTTGCTGAAAACGAAAATGAGATTCTTTTAAATAAGAAAGACTCGCAAATCCGGGTATTAACTGATAGTTTAAATGTTTTAAAGGAAGATATTTTAAAAGGTTCAAAAACCGAATCAAAATCAAGCAGTGACATAGAGTTTTTAATTGCGCAACTTATGACTGAAAATAAAAGACTTGTCGAGGAGTTGAATAACAAAGACATGATTATTGATGATTTCAGAAACGCTTTTGTGAATGTAGCAGCCGAATGGGATCAGCGAGTCACTTTTGAGACAAACGATTCTTTCAAAGAAAATATCAGAAAAGAATTTAATTTTGATACAGCTCTTACAGGAATAAAAGAAAGTTTAAAAAAATCTCATTATGAATTGGTAGATAAGGTTGCAGCTCTTCACAAAGAACTTAAAGAGATGAAGGAGGAAAATCGAACGTTAAAGAAACAAAAAGAATTTTCTACAAAAGAATCCCGACTAATAGTCCGATTTGAAAAGCTGAACGAAGAAAACAGTAAACTAAGAAATCTAATTGGCTGTCAAAACGTTGATGAAGTTAAATCTGCATTGTGTCAAGAGAATGATCGTTTGTTTAATGAAAACAGTTTACTTAGAACAGCTCTTAATGAAGATCGAAAAGAACTAGTTGATAGTAATTTGCGCAAACGGGACAAAATAAAACTTCTTGAACAAGAATTAAAGGACACAAGGAAAGTTCTGAAATTAAATTTAAAACAAACAAATGAGGATTTAAACTTTTCAAGAGACATTTATTTGAATAACTCAAGTGAACGCATTTTGAATCAATCGAAAGAGTCAAAGCTGGAGCAAAACGCAATAGTTAAGGAACCAAGTGGGTTACCTCCAAAAAGTAAAAAAAGAAGCGCAAAGCAATCAAGTTCACAGACATCATCAAACGAGAAAGCAGCTTTCGCCGAGATGATTCAGCAAAACGAAATAATCAGAAAACTTCAAGAGGATAACGAACGTCTTAGAATGAACGCAACGACTAACAAAGAAGACAAAAAAGAAATCGAGGTTTTAAAATCTGAAAGAGAAAAGTTGAAACTTGTAATACGCTCAAATGAAGCATTTGAAGAAGAAGTGAATGAATTAAAAAACCTTTTAAAAGAAAAAAACAGAGAATTATTAAGAAGCAAAGAAATAATATCAGGTTACGAAAAAGAAATAACATTTTTACGAGACTACAATGAAGGATTGACTCCTACTGCAAGTCCAGACGGTAAACGCAGTAGTTTCAAAAAAACGGAAAAAGAAACGTTATTGCTTGAGAACGCAGCACTTAAATCTGATCTAGATAAAGCTTTAAAAGATATAGAAAAACTTATCGAAATAGTAGACCGTAGAAAATTAAGTCTGAGTAATCCACTAAACAAAAAAAGCGTTTCATGTAACGATATTACGATACTAGATCATGAAAGTAAAAACATTCAAAAAAATAAAAACTTTAATTATTCGTTAGATAATAGTATGACAGAGATTAATTCTTTAAAGCAAGAATTAATTGAATCAGAAACCTCTCGCAATAAAGCTTATGACGAAATTGGAAAACTTAAAGCAACTCTTCAAAGCTTTAGAAATGAAAAAGACAAAAGAGATTTTGTAGAAGATGAAAGGAAGCAGAAACAAATTATTGAAGAGTTAAAAAACAGTTTAGAAGAAGCAATGCGTGAAAAAAGAAAAATAATCTCACAAAACTTACAAGACAAAATCACACTCGAAGAAAAAATAAACTCTATGGTTAAAGAAATTAATAAACTAAAAGAAGAAAAATTAATTTTAGAAGCAGATAATAACATTAAAAGAGTTGAATATACAGAAAAAAACGATGATGGCAACGACTGGTTTCAAAGTGATTTGAAAAAACGATTTTCTCTCCTAAGTCCTGATGACCAACGTGGCAATTTATCTGATAGAAAACATGCTCGCGATCACGGCAGATTAATTAGAAAACTCCAGGTTGAAAATCAAACTCTACGAGCAAAGATGCTAACATTGGAAGAAGAAGGTGTAGAAACAATAAAAATTATTGCTGATATGGAACGAGGGCACGGTCACTTAACCGGAACGCTTCGAACACATTTAGTACTTCAAAAAGCTTCGACTGCAAAACTTTTAGAAAGCTCTATCGAACAGTATGCTGCTGATTTTGAAAACTTTAAACGTAAGTTTAAATCACTTGAAACAAAGTACGATCGAGACAAAAAATCATCAAAACGAAGAGACCATGCTTGGGATTTTTTTACAAACGCATCTGCTTCCATCACTAACATTCATAACATACTTAATGAAGGGTTTTTTAAGTTTGAAGAAGATCTGGAAAAAGATTTGGATGAAGATTTCGTTAATAAAGATTATAAATCAAGATTGTGGATAATGAGACGACAATTAAGTGACGTCGAAAAACGTCATCGTGAGCTGCAACTTCGTGCAGAAGAACTGAACATTAGGTTACACGCAAAGACTGCTGAATACGAAGTAACGCAAGAAGAACTAGAAGATACTACACGAGATTTAGAGTCGCGAGATTCAATATTGCACAGATTAAAAAAAGATGCATTGCGACTTTCTAAAGAAAATCAATCACTTAGTAGAGTGATCAAAATACTACAGGGTAATTTTCATTTTTATCTTTTCTAAATTGAATTTTAAAAGAACAAGACCAAAAGCAGATAATAAGTGGATTCCAGACAAAAAATATTTGTTTAAGTTGCAATTACAATAATCAAAACAGTTAAAATAAAAAATTTTCCTGGAAAGTTGCATAATATATTTGTTCCTTCGAAAGTTGCATAATATATGTTTCCATATGGCTCAAAAGATCTTTTGTTACTTGGGACAGAATTATTATTTTTTTAAATAGTAAATTGTGTTAATTTTTTTAACTATTTACTTAATTTGCTTTACTAATTTACCTTTTAGAAAACGAAGAAAAAACAATTAAAGAAGTGATCATGCATAATACAGTTCTTCAAAGCGAAATAAATGAACTCAGTGAAAGTCACGACAATAGGCTAAGAGATGTTCACGCTAACATTTTAGAATTGAGCGAATCTCTGGAAGAAAAACAAAAATCCTTAAGTGAGGCAATTCGTTTACGGGATTTAGCTAAAAAAGAAACAGAAGAATGTTTACGACGAATACAGTATTTAGAAAAAAAACTCCATGAAATGACTGAACAAAGAGACAAACTAAAAAAAGAAGCAGAAAACCGAGCTGGTTATATGGCAAAAGCAAATGAAGATCATGGTACAATTCATTTGTTAAGAGATGATTTAAAAAAGCTTGCTAAAGAAAATGCAGATATGAAGCAAGAACTATCAATAAAACAAAGACTAATGTATGATATGTCAAAAGATCTTCATACCTTGCGTTTAAAAGAAGATGGCAAAGTATCTGAAAGAAAAATGTTCAAAAAAGAAGATGAAATTGCGCAATTGCAGCATGAAATATCTGAGTTAAAAACAGAAAAGTTTATTCTTGAAACAAAAGTCAAAGATCTTGAAAGAAAGAGAGATAAACCATTCTCAAAAGAAGATAAGTTTCTGGAAAAAGCATACCGCAACAAGCTCGTTGAAAAAGAAGCAGAAATTCAGGAAATAAAAAATGAGCTAACTTTTATTAAGTCAAACCAAGAAAAAAAACAAATTACAAACAAAAATTTATTGGACCAGGGCGATGATTCAAATGAGCTTTTTATTTCTTATAAAAAGTTGCAGCAGCAGTTAAAGGAGTTCGAAGAAAAACGAGATATTGAAATAAAAGCTCTTACAAAAGATATTCATCAAAAACGACGCAGAATTAGTGAGTTATTAAAATCGATAGAAGAACTAAAACAAGCCAAGTCTCCAAACGTAAACGAAATTGAAAAACTTGTTGAAAATATTGAAATTGAGGAACAACAATCATTATTGTTGGAAATCGATGCAAAAGAGCGCGAAACTGAAGAATGGAAGAAGAAAACACATTACCTCGAAAGTGAGCTTAGACAAGCCAGATCAGTTTTATCAGCTTCATCTTGCGAAGACGATAAATTTAAAAAAGTTTATCTTAACAAAATGCTACCATATAGCGGCAGTGTTTTGTCGGGTGGATATTTTGATCGCAAAACGCCGGGACAAGATTCTCTTTCATTGATGTCAAAAACACCCGAAGATGAAGATATCTACCATAAACAAGAAGATTACGAACCAAAAGAAAGCAATTATGATTCAAAAGTGATAAATAAACTATTAAATCGTACAAAAAGTAACGAAAACATTAAAAAAACTTCAAAGATACCTCAACGGCGCTTACCAGCGCCTAAAACTTTAAATACTAAACTCAGACACATACCTTCTAAAGCATCTGAAAAAACAGAAACATGCGAAGATAATGGAAACGATGACGACCTAGAAATTTCTTTTGACAAGGTAAATAATTTTCTTCATGGAGGTCCTAAAGTTTACAGAAATACATTAGGAACAACTGAACAAAACTACACATACGATGAAAACGCTTTCTCACGACTCCAACGAGACATTGACAAATTAACAAACGAAAATACAATGTTAAAAGTTAATCTATCAGAATTAAAAAAGTCTTTAAAAAAAAGTGTTTCTGGTACGCCTAAAGTTGTAACAGAAAAAAACGTTTTATTGATCGAAGAAAATAAGTCATTGAAAGACCTTCTCGAAACTCAGACACAAAACGTGTCTTCTCAAGAACGTGTAATAAAATCGCTTAAAAGTGACATGGAAAATTGTAAAAGCAAATACATTGAACATTGTGATAGAATTTCAGAGGAACTTAAAGAAAAGAAAAGAGAAGTGCGTAACTTAAAAAAAAATGTTAAAGAATTACAGATTTTAAATAGTAAAGTAGCTGTTAATGGCTCTTGTAATGAATCACTAAACCAAAACAAAAATATATCGAGTTCTTTCGGTGAACAAAGTAAAGTTGAAGAGCTAGAAAAAAAACTGAAAGAAACTGAAACCACCTACGAAGATGTTTTAAAGCAAGCTGAAAAAGCATTAGAGGATGCCAAGCACAAATTAACAGTACAGCATAAGCAAAACAAAGAATTGACAAAAAAAGTGAATGAAATACAAGTAGATAATCAGTTAAAAGAAACGTATTTCGAAGAATTAAAAACGGAGCTGACAGAAACCCTTGCAGAAAAAAACAGTTATATTTCTTCTTTAAATAAAGAATATCAAGATTACAAACGTAGAAGCGAAGAAGAATACGACAAAATTTCAAAACAACTTAGAGAATTAGAAAAGCAATGCCAAGACTACAAAATTCTCCTTGAAAATAGCGAAAGCACTACCTCGGAATTTGTCAATCATTCAAAATATGAAGCAGTTCATATTAATGATGAAGTAAACGGAGCAAAAGACATTGAAAGTTTAAAGCCTAAATATAGTAAACCAAGGGGAAAACATGAATCCTTGGTAAACACACTAGATATGATATCTGACGATCGTTCCATTAAGACAGACATAGATGATAAAAATTATGAAAATCGCAAAATTGATTACGAAATAGAATACGAGATTTTGAAAGGATGCAACGAAGAATTAGAAGAGCAGATTTTTAATCTTGAAAATAAACTAAAAGAAAATGAAAAGTATATTCAGTGTGCAGAAAATGCAATCAACGAAGCAAAGATGGAAGGTGCATCAGCTTTGATGAAACTGCAGCAAGCTTTGAATCAAACTGATACTTTGGAAGACCAGAAACAACGGTTAGAACAAAAGGTTAGAGAGCTTGAAAAACGTGAACTTGAGAAAAATGGAATATATAACTTTGCTCTCCAAAAACAGAGTCTTGAAAATACTGAGCAAATTGAACAACTTAAAAGTATAGTTGATGAGTATGAAGTGGAAATGCATAGAAGTGACACCATGTTAAAAAAAGAAAAATCAATTAATAAGAAATCGATTGAGGAGTTTAAAGAGGTTATAAAATCATTCGAAGAAAAATTAAACAAGAAAAACAAAGAGATTGAAATGTTAAAAGATCAAAATGAAGGAAAGAACACTCAGCTTAAGTTGAACGATTTAAAAAAAAAACTAGAAGAAAAACAAAAGCAATTAAACGAAAAAGATAAAGAAATTTCTGATTTAGAATCTCAACTGCAGAAATGGATTCTAAAATCAATTAGTGAATCATATGATGACCCAAAAACTTTGCTCGAGCAATCCAACAATATACTGGACATGTCAAATGACTCCGAAGAGTTTAAAAACAGCTTTACTAAAAACTTCAATGTTAATGTTGACAACGAATTAAACAATCTGAGAAAAAAGAATTCTGCTTTGCAACTAGAGTTAAATGATAAATGTAGAGAAATAGATTTATGTATGGAAAGATTTAATAACAAACAAGAAGAATTACAAAGTGTTTTAAAAATGAAAGAGAAGTTGACAAACGAAATCTACAAAAAAGAAAGCTATATTCAGAAGTTAAATAACTTACTCAAACATAGTGGCATTTCCAACGAAAATTCCAAATCTTTTCAGGAAGTAGTTTCTTCTTTTAGTGAGGAGTACAAGGAGAATGTACCAACACAGGTTCTTGAAAATGAGGAAAATTTTAGTTCAGAAACGTCAAAACTTTCAGATACTCGTAATAAAAATAAAATGCTTATCGTAAAACTTTATAAAGTTGAACAAGAAAACATGACTTTCAAAGCCTTAAGTCGTCAATACAAAGAGCAATCAACAGAATTAAAAGATGAATTGCTCGTGGCAAGAGAGAAAATTAATCAACTTCGTTCTTTGATTTATGAAAACTCAACAGACGACTCGAATTTGAAAATTAAATCAAAATTACTTATAGCTTTTGAAGAACTAAGGGAAAAATCTATTGAAATTGCTGAGTTAAATTTGAAATTAGAAATTCAAAGCCAAGAGTTGGATAATCATAAGTCTTGCGGATTTGCGCAGACTTTTGAAGAAAAAAACACTAAACTTAATCGATCAACTAAGGTTGAGTCAGAAGTTGATGACCAAGAGTTAGTTGATCAAAATATTCAACTCAGAAGCCAACTAATCAGCAAATCACAACACTGCGATTTTTTGCAAGACCAAATTTTTAAACTCGTCAGCAAAGTCAAAAGTATCGAAAAAAATTTGTTACACGAAAATGAATATTTAAAAGAAAAATATATTTTCAATAAAAACATTCCAGAGCAAACAGATGTTACAGAAGTGACTCCGCTAGGAAATACTTTTACTTTACTATCGAAAAAAGCAAAAGATGACGCTAACGAAACAATACTTTTAGATGGTTTTGAAGAATATAAAAACGAAGAAAATGATTCACAGAAAGAAAAAATTTCTAACTTACAAAACTTAATTACCCAAAATGATTATGAAAAATCTTGTTTAAAAGAAGAGAATAACGAATTAAAATTAGAAATCAATAAGTTAATGAAAGAAATAGAAGTTCTCTACAAAGATATTGAACAACAACGTCAAAAGTTATCCAAAGGAAACGAAAATATAAAAGAAAGAGAAGAAGCAATAAAATGTCTACAAACACAACTCTTAAAGGCTAATAACAAAGGTGACAAAATGACACTTGACATGACTATTGTTTACAAACTCGGAACCATAAATTTATAAAAATTCTAACAGTTTATAACATATTTATGTAACCTATTTGCAAATTCAAAGGCCTATAATTTACAAATGATAAGAATAGTTTTTTTGTTTAAACAGTTTAATTTTATTTTAATATATTTATTTATTTTAAATCTTTTTTTTAGCTTTAAAGTTAGAAAATGAAATACGTCAAATCAACAAGGAAAAACAATCCCTTCTTGAACAACTTGAAATACAAAAACGTCGTTATAACGATGATATTATGAACACAAAATCAACATTTTTACAAGTAAAAGAAGAACACATAAACTCACTTAAAGAAGAATTGGCAAGTACAATCGAGGAAAAGTTAAAACTGCAAGTGATTCTTAAGGAACAACAATTAGATTTAAACCAAAAAGAGGAGTTAGCAAATAAACTTACTAAAGAAAATAAAAAAATAGACTTTAATTTAAAAATGAAAGAAGAGGAAATGGACGAACTAGTTAACGCTTTATCGCTGTTAGAGGCTGAAAATATTAGGCTGGTTGATTGTTTAAATATGCGCGTGCATTAAACAAAAAAAAAAAAAAAAAAAAAAAAATCTTTATTCATGTTAAAAACAAAAACATAAGTATACGTTTTTACTTATTTTTTATTGTAAATCGCATTTTATAAAGTATAAATCTAGTTTATCTAATGTAGTTCACACATGTAACCTATTGTATGCATATACTTTCAAAAAAAAATAATATAAAAATTACTTCGAAACTCTGCACTATACCTATGACTAGATCTTTAAGTAAAAAATTTAAAATTCAAAAATAAGTTAAATTGCGAGCAAATATTTGATTGGTAATAATTCTACGGATGGATTTTATTGGTAATGACTATATATGGGCATGATGTTTATTTATCAGTACTGTAGCTTTGATGTATTGTATTGATCAAATGTGTTGATCAATGATCAATTTTTTGAAAAAAATATTAGGCATACTGTAAGCAAAAAAACAAAAAAACAAGTTGATGCATCAATTACTTTGTCGATTTGTATCTTGAAGGTTCCACTTTTTCGGATGCGATTTTTCATCTTGAAGATTTTATTACTAACTTATCTGTAAGACATCAACAAAAAAAATTCTAACTTGTTTTTAACAAGTTCTTCCTGTTAATCTTAAGAGTAATCAACTTTATCTCATCATCATTCCATTCATCTCAGCCTCATTTAATCATCATTCCATTCATCTCAACTTCATCTTATCATCATTCCATTTATCTCAACTTTATCTCATCATCATTCCATCAGTCCGCAACGTTTATTTCATCATCATTTCATCAGTTAGCTTCAAGAACTTTGAATGTATTGAAAAGCAACACGCATGCTATATTTACTAACCAGCGTAACAACATCTTGAAGATGCAGTTATCTAAGATAAGAGTGAAAAATTTCCGGAAATATTCCAGGAAATATTGCTCAAAACTTTCAAAAACTTATAGTTTTACAAAACTCATTTTTTTGTTGCGTTTTATCATCGTAGTAATTGAGTTCTTTAAATATTTAAAGAAATAATAAAATAATAAAGACCCACAAGCGAATTACAAATCTTTTATTCAAATTTTTATTACTAAATTTTTGAGTCCTCAATCGCGCATTTTTTTAAAAAATAATAAAAAGCTCAAGTTGTTATATATTACTTTTACGTATATTACTTTTGTGAAACGTTGCGTTGTTTCACAAAAGTAATATACGTTGCAACGTTAATTCCATTGCAACAGAAAGTAGATGTTTTCAAGTTAGCTTGTCTTTTGAGCTTGTGTATAACATATTTGTAGCTTTTACTTCTCTCAACAACGATGTTAAATTTTCACAAAATACAAAGAATAAAATCTTTTTTATATTAACAAGTTTTATTGGGTATTTTTTTAAAAGTGTTTTAAAAAAAACAAATATTTTCTATATGTAAAGATTGCATTTAAAACATCTATATAAAAGGTACATGTTGCAAATACACTAGCCGTGTATTTGTACACTAGCCGTGTAAGATTTTTATAATTTATCTAAAAATGACATTAGAAAACACATTTGATTTAAATATTCAGTAAAATAAAAATAAATTAATTTGCTTGGTATGATATTGTAAAACACACACACACACACACACACTAACAAACAAACACACACACATCAATCGCCCACTTGACAATATTGGTTGAAAAATACAGTATACATTTAAACCATTTAAAAATATAGCATAATTTTTTAGTTTATTGATATATAAAGTCAAAAATTCCTCAGCAAGGTTGTGGTGAGTGAGACTCAAGTCTTAAAAGCACTTATTTAAACATTTATTGCAAACTATATTTTTAAATGGTTAAATTTAGAAAAAAAGTTTTCACGTTTAGCACTTGATTAATCAATAACGCCTTAAAATGAAAAAAAAAAGTAAAATACTGTAAATATACAATCAAGTCTTTTTATATATAATTTTACAGTTTTCAGTAACTTGTAGGTCAAATTAATAAACATTAAAAAATCTCCAACGTGATCAATATGATTAGCAAATAACAGTATTAAACGTAATATAGACGTATTTAATACATTTTTAGTTTACAGATATATTTTATTGATTGCACAAACATGCGAAATTGCAGCTTTTTTTGCTTTTTACAGTAGTAAAATTCACCAATTTACATCAATAAAAACAAGGAAAGCAAAATGATATATTTTTGAAGTTATACAAGTAACAAACATAAAATATATTCACAAAAAAAACTGTTTCTTTTACATGGAACAAATTCTAAAATAATTTATTCTTAAATTATATATTGATATCATTTAAGAATGAATTCAAATTGAGTAATTGAAGTCAAAGAGGCAATATTTTATGTTACTTAGCAACTTGTTACTGCATTTTGGATAACGATTAAGCTTTTTTTTACCCTTGCCAATACATTTGAAAATTGTGATGGATTGCTTCTGTTGCTTGTTTTGAGTAAAGCCAAAGAGCTTGGCCAAAGAGCTTGGTCAATAAAATTTTTCACATGGAAAAATAATGCATGGACCTAGGGTGTTACTGACACGTTTTAAAATGCCAAAAAAGACACTCTGAATGCTTCAATTATTTGTGGGTAGTTTTGATCAAGGTTGCATATAAAACAGTCAGACGCTACCGCATTGAATTTTTGAAAAGTATCGATGAATGGGATAGCTGCATAACATAAGTGTTTCTCAGCAATTGATTGAAAAATATCAATATTGGGTAGCAGTCTTCTGAACTCATTTCCTGCAAAATGCCCACCATGATAAGGTTGTATCAGTCCAAAGAGTTGTGAGAGGAACAACTTTAAGTAGAGCAGCAAAAAGATAATTGAAAACTCCAATTAGGAGATGAAACTCCATGGGAGGAACTTCAAAACCAAAGTGTCTCCAGGTAGTCTAAATATTGGAGAATGAACAACCTTTTTCTAGTCACGAGCCTCTCTGATATTGGAACCTGCTGACTTAAAGATTGAAACATTTTTTTCTAGATGCAGGGATGTGTATTTGAGAGTCATATAGTTTTGTACACTTGAGTGTTATATAGTCACTTGATTGAATATTATTTGTAAGCTTGAAGCCCACAAAATTTATTTGCACGTTTTAGATCACAGGACAGGACAAATTCATTGCGAAACGTTATCATAATTTTCTTGAAGCTCTTCAGAGACAGCAATAATGAGTTGTTGTTTGACACCAGTGTCCTTAAAAACCTTGCTTGTACACTTGCTTGTGTTTTTTTGGGGGAATGATTGATATTCAAACAAACATACAATTTGATGTCACCAATACTTTATACAGGTAAATGTTTATAATGTTCTTTGTTTTATGTTTAAATGTAAAACCAACTCATCTCCAGCTTCCTTTTTTGATTTATATTCTTTAAAAGAAAAAAATAAATATTCTTTATGAAATGATAATTTTATTAAACAACCAAAATTTCAAACAAACTTTGGTAAATTTTGCATTTCTTTTCGTGGAGCTTCTTTATGGAACCAAATAATTTTAAAAAATTTTTCTCATGAATGGAATTATTATATGTTCAAAAGAAAACTAAAAAAAGTTATTTTCTCAATTGAAAATATATTTATATACTTTTAATTATACCCAGTTTTGTCATCACTCATTTATATTTTACTTTTATACAATATTGATTTAAAGTTTATTTGAGAAACTATATTTAAACACCATTATTTAAATATTGTTAAAAGTTTCACTGACATTATTTGTTCAGTAGTCTATTATTATTTACATGTTTACTTTAATTTTTATTTTAATTCGTAATATTTGTAAATAATTTGTCCTACGAACGTTATATATTTTGAATATTGAATTTAAAAATTGATGTATGTGAATGGGTCTATTTGCAAATATTGTATGTATGACACTTCTGGAAGTTAACCATCCTTTGACAGTAGTTTAGCATTTTTGTCGGTGGAAGCGAATCGTAAACGCACCAACATTTAATAATTTTGGCTTCACACACAGTGACCCCATCATTTGGCTTAATAAATTTTTTTACACAATCTTTTGGACAACCTTGATGTGCATTTGGATGTACCTAGTGCAATCATATTTTTTTTTTTTTTTTTTTTTTTTTTTTTCTTCTGATTAACATCGTATAATATTATTACAATGCACGTATACTTATGGAATCTCATAAAATAAAATATAAAAGTATATACATTACAACAAAATTAAGTTGAATCAGATAGGGGCTCAAAGAAGATAAGGATAACTTTACGTTATCGCAATCTTTTCATAGAACCCCTAGGTACAAGTTTAAATAAAACAACGTAGGAATAAATAGCTCGTATAAAAATATACTAATAACAATGTTATCATTAAAAAGTCAAGACACAGTTAAATTAATCAATAAAGTAAAAAGAAAAAACTTTATCTTAATTCAAATTTTAAAAATTTCTTTTTTTAATTGAAACTTAAATGAGTTTAAAGACTTCACCATAAATTTAAATTCCTTTTAACAGTCATTCCATAATTTAGGTCCTCGATAAGATATACAAAATTCTGAGAGTTTATTACATTTCCGAGGCAATTTCAAGTTTTTATTTCTATTTGATCTTAGACCATACTTTTCATTTGAATTTATTTCAAACTTATCTTTGAAGTTTGCTGGCAAGAGGTTGTTATAGTATCTATACATAAAAATTAGATGCTGATAAATATTTATTTCAAATATATTCATCATTTTCATATCTCTCACAAGAGGTTTTCCATGTTCACGTTTATGTTTACAGTATATAATACGACAAGCGTGTTTTTGGAGCCTATAAATTTTTTGAAGTTTTGAAGTTTGCGTACTTGCCCATGATATATTTGCATAATTAATAAAACAGTGTATCAGTCTAAAGTATATTAATTTGAGACTTAAAATAAAACATTTTCTTTTATTTATTAATTAATTAACAATTAAGATTAGTGTAATTGTAAGATACATTTAAGTAACAAGATTCAGTGCTCGTATAGATGCGAGTAAGATGCATTTGACGTATTTGTTTATCAAGAATATTTTGATAATATTTTTTTCACTTGAGTCGTGCGATTCAGAAGAAATAGTATTTTAAT